TTCTTGAATAAAGTATTAGTAATAAAAAAATCATATGCTAAAGCAAAATCTAAAATGACTCTATCTTCTTCATTAGTAACTACAAAACCGTAGCCACCATGAGTATTTCTTATTTCTGAAATCTTCTACCACTCTGAAATCTTCTACCACTCTACCGCCATGTCCATTTAAATCTCCTCCAATAAGAATTTTTTTTTCAAGAGGTATCATTTGTATTAAATCTTTCTAAGTCATTCCAGAATTTATCTTTAGATCGTATATCTAAACCTACCTGAGGAGCATAAGCACTTAAAATATTAAAAATATTAGTATCAATGATAATCTTAAGAGCTATAATTTTGTCTCCAACTCTCTTTACAACTTTATCTTTCAAACTTTTATCTATAATTGCACCTACACCATTTTAAGTGTAAGGTAATTATTGGAATTACCTTACAATAATTAAGACCAACAATAACTAAAACAAAAAGATATGGGCTTAAAGTTGTTCCCTGATGTACACCAACAGAAATAAGAAATTATTTGGTCAATCCTTCGTTTTTTTTGTCAATTTCCTTATGTACAAACCCAAGTAACAATTCTAGTATACATATTTTTAATGACTTGAATATAAGGAGTATCATCTTTCTTTTCTAGAACTCTCTAAACTACTTTTGGTCGTAAATTTTTCTGAATCAATAAAATTCATATGTAGATCCTCTTTATTATCTCTGAATTTCTCCATCAAACCACTCAATAAATATATAGCTTCCATAGTAGACCTACCCGACATAAATCCAAATTGACTATGAGAAATCTTTGTAATATGTTTTAATTTATGTTCAACTTTCATCTCTCATAATTTTAAAGTATGACACATCAAGTTATATCCTTTATAATTGGCACACTGTTGTGCATCCTCTTTATTCTTAACAATGGTGATCAAAATACTGTTCCTGCACTCCTTAAGCATCTTTTTAGTTTTTAAAAGAATATTAAAGAGTTTAGTAAGCCAAGAAACTCTCAAATCTCTTAAATATTTCCACACTTTAATTGGGATATCATCAGGTCCTACAGACTTTCCACCGTTGGTTTTCTTTAAAGCCTCATCAACTTTCTTTTTACTAATGCGACGACAAAAATGAAACTTTTTATTATTATTAACGATATTAAGATCCCTAAGGTCGATCATATTTTTCGAAACTTCATTAAAAAATTTATCAAAATAACTCACTCACTATTTTGATATCTTTTTCTAAAAAAAACACTTTTTGTTTTTTATTTTTCATCTTGAATACACTTTACTTGAGTTAAATCTTTACTTTTCTTTTCTCCTTGTTTGACTAGTTTATACATATGTTTTTCACCCTCCTTAATATCTAATCTATTATAAGTTCACTAAAATTAGAATATTTTGGGTCACGAATTGTTCTGTTAGACTCTCTATGGGTCTTTTGATAATTTTCCGGGTTCTTTGAGCTTTTACAACAACAACAACAATAACAAAATCTTAATCCCACTACGTGGGGTCATCTGCATGAATCCTTTTTCTCCATTGTGTCCTATTTAGTGTCATATTTTCATTTAGTTCTTATAATTAAGTTCGTTTTTTTTGCAATAAGCCCAAGTTTTCCTAGCTCTGACTCTGCCTTTCTTAACATAAGTGGGATCTAGAACATCTACTCTCCTAATCAGATCATCAGATGGTCGACTCTTAATGTGACCAAACCATCTAAGACGAATTTCTCTAATTTTGTCCGTCACAGAAGCTACACCAACCCTATCATGGATATATTCGTTTCACATTTTGTCTCTTAAGTTTAAAGCCACTCATCCACCTAATCGTTTTCATCTCGGTAACACTTAGCATTATGCTTCTCTTTTAAAGGCCAACATTCAGCGCCATGGAGCATTGCAGGTCTCAGAACCGTCGTATAAAATTTTCCTTTCAGTCTAAGTGGTGCTTTACTATCACAAAAAAAGGCCCGAAGCATTCCTCCACTTCAACCAACAAACTTGATTTCTATTGTTAACATCCCCATCTATATCAACATCACTTTGAACAACAGACACAAGATATTTAAATATGGCATATGTCTGGTACTTACCCTCTTAAACTCGTATTACTTATGAATAAAGTGAATATACACAGCATTGTCTAAAATTACATTCCATATATTCAGTTTTATTTCTATTCAAATGAAGGCCTTTAGACTCCAATGTAGACCTCCATAATTCAAGTTTTTCTTTCCTCCATAATTCACTCCAATGTAGACCTCCATAATTCAAGTTTTTCCTTGGTTTTTTCCCTTGTCTTATCCACGAGAAGGATATTATCAGCAAAAAACATACACATAGTATTCTCTAAGCTTTTACATTTAAACCAATTTTTATAACTTACTTTTGTATATTTTATCTTTTCTTGCACATTATTATTTCACCATCAACTATTTTGTTTATAAAAACTTTTTCTTTTGATTCTCCAAATATATTTTTTGCCACTTTTTTAATAGTTTTTGCTACTTTATCCCAGATAGAATTTGTTTTTTCATGCACATCCCAAATTTTAAAATCTTAAATTATACTCAAAAAAATTATTTGTCTTTTAGGTACCCTACAACGATGATTCCTAGTATTTTTTTTATTTTATGACTTTTCGTCTTAAAATCTAGAACTATTAATCAATGTTGTGTACTTAAATCTTCACTTGGAATGACCTTACAAGCATTACATTCTCGACGATCTCTTGTTCTAATAAGAAATTAATCAATTTATATTTTATTTGATCAATTCTTGTAAGTCTCTTTTCTTGAATAAAGTATTAGCAATAACAAAATCATGCCCTAAAGAAAAATCTAATATAGCTCTACCTTCTTCTTTAACGGCCGCCCAAACAACTTCCTTCAGTTGTCTTCTTTGCAGTTCTCCACTTCCCAGTAGCCATCCTTTCGCTCACTTTGTCGTCGCCTCTACAATCACAGCCCTCCCCCTTCCAACTTACTATTGCCATCTAGAACCCTCGCTCTTTTCAGTCCACCTTATATTTGGTACCCTAACCGGTTGCACTCTTACTGATGTTGCTCCGAACGGGCCGCATTGTTGCCTTCATCGCGTTGGACAAAGCTCCCGCACAAATCTCTATTGCTTGCTTGCAGCCCACACCATTAGAAACCATTGTCTCATGGTTTGTTGCTTGCCAATCAGATCATCACCAATTATGTTGGAAGGCTAATATTTACTCCGCACGGTGCTTCGTTACCTCACAACGTACACTGGGATTCCGCAGTTCACGTCATTATAGGTGCTTTGTTGTGATGAGCACGGGGTGGTCGACAACGGCCGATGGTTGCAGGAACGGGTGATATTTGCCAGACCTTTGATGTAAATTATTGGTAATACCAGATTTAATCCAAATCACAGTAGCATAAGCAAATATTATTACTCAAAACAGATCGGTTACAATTAAGACTCAAACAGAAACATAAAACACAACAACGTCAACATTCGATTCTGGTCGTGTAAGAATTTTCAAGGACATCGGTGCTGATGGTGCAGTGTCTAGTGTCTGAAATAGGGAAGGGGAGGTGGTCTACGAATGAAGTTAGTGGAGGAAATAGGTGAATTGCGATTGGCTACATAAAATCAAAATGGTGGTCGACGACTAGGAACCTGGGAAGGGTGGGGGAGGTCTGTTGCTGGAAGTAGGGAGGCCGGTAAACAACAAGTCAGGGTGGGGGAGGTCTGTTGCTGGAAGTAGGGAGGCAGGTAAACAACAAGTCGGCTGGCGGCTGGTGGCTGGTGGCTGGAAGCAGGAAGAGAGGGAGATGGCATGAGGCTGACTGCTGGAAGCAGGAAAGGCAGGTGCCGGGTCAAACGAGGGGAAAGACTATTTATAGAGTCTTAGAGAAGTCTCTCTTCAAATAAGGAATTGAAACCACTCCACCAAACTACTTGAACAAATTTCTTCGATTGCACAGTATATTGCAGACATTGGAGTGCTTTAACAATGTTAGAATTGAGTGATATTCGACTTATTGGATTAATTTCATCTAAATGTTCGATTCGACTATAAGTTTGTCAGTTTCAGAAGGCTTAGCGACTTAATTTGATCTTGATTTGACTCGATTAGACCAACTTTTGTGTCATTGTCTTTGTTTCGTCTAGCTGATCAGTTTGATTGTAAGTTTGTTTAACTCTGAGTTTTGGATGATTTTATTTGAAGTTTGAATGTTAATTGCGAAAAAATTACCTCAAGATTTGCGTGAGCCTCGACATTGGCACCGGATGATGAGATTTTTTTTATGCTTATCAGTTATTTACTGCTCTTGTGATGGCAAGTTTTTTGACAAAATGGTTATGTTCTATCATTATCATTTTCTGGGACCTATATTTGACCTAGCATCTCCCTCTCTCCTTTCTCTGTATCTACACGATCTTCTTTGAGTCATTATTCGTAATTTAACTTTCAATACTGTAATGCAGAAGGTTTGGAATACCTACATAGCTGAGATTTCATTCATCTCATCCACGTTTTTTCTACTTCATTATTTCTTAGTCAACCAATTACTATCAGTCATTTTTGAATCAGTTATTGTTCCCTATGTGATGTAAATTGTAACCTGTTCTAGATATTTCCCTAGTTGGTTTCTGAAAAAGAAGTCATAGATGCCACCTTCATGTCTTAAAATACTGTGCGGGACATTCGCACTTGTTTGACGTGGAAATCATTTCCTTTAATGTATGTCTCTTTTTAACTTAGTTGATACGAAATGGCTTGTTTTGTTGGGCTTCATTGCCTCTTCGTGATAGAATAAGCTTGGACAAAGCAGATGGGTTTTTGTTTGGGTGAGAAAGAACTACTGCATTGCTTACAATAGTTTTTTTCTGCGAAACATGAAAGCTGCTTTTACATCATACATTAAAATATTTTTGTGAAAAATAGGAAAGCTGTTTTGACCAGTTTCACTATAAGCAGTTCCGTCAAACGAAGCCTAGTAGCTAATATCTTTATGTTCTTACAGTGAATGTTGTCAGCAGCCACATGACGCAACTTTGACTGGTACCCCATGTTTGCAGTTCTACTTTGATATAGGTGGTAAAATACCTGGTGAATCTCTGGATAGACTAATTCACATTATGGCAAATGTTGTCTGTCCTATGTTGTTGGAAACAATTATTAAAGGTAAAATGTAGTAACAAAACATTTTCTCAATTTACCTCGCTATGTATAGATATTTTTACTTTATGTATTTTTTACATATGTTGCTTATATATTTATCTAAAGTTTTGATTTCTATTATTTTAAATGCTTCATGTGTAGTCCTGTTTATTTTTATCTAGTCCATCTGCTCTGAATACTTCAAATTTCTTCTATTCTCTTGCATTTATCAATAGGTGTTGAATCTTTTTCATGGTGGTGGTTCTTTTAATGCACAAGCAAAATTTAAAATAAATGCTTGATTTTCTGAAAATGAGAATATCAACATCTTCAAAAGCAAAACTTTAAATAATCAAGCTTATATCTTGGATCCAAAACAGCGCAAGGTAGCAACAATTTTTATTTGGATTAATACTCATCAAATATCTTTTGCATTCTTATTACCATATCTATCATGAAATGTGAAGGACATCCAATATACTTCAACAAATGCATTTGCATTTGAATTTTTCAAACACCATGAAAGTATATATTAGCTATCAGAAGCAAATGCGACCTCATAAAAGACTTGTAAAAAAGTAGTTAAGCATTCCAACTTTTGGAAATAAACACCATCATAAGAGAAAGAGTAAAAAATTCATAATTCTTATCACGTTCTCAGAAGCAAATGTACAATCAATCATAATGATGCAAGGCAGGGATTGCGCGCGTGCGCGGGGGGGTTTGCTGAGCCGACCTCTGCTTGGTCCAGACGTTTTGGACTAACCGGCCCTGTGGAACCTGTTTTTCCCTTTCCTTTTCTATTTTTTGTCTTAATCCCCTTCCTTTACCATTACTATTCTTTTCTATTTCTTGCCTATTTCATGCCTTCCTTTTCTATTTCCTTTCTTATTTTGTTCTTACCCATTCTACTTATTAATCTCTATCATTTAAAGGTGGTGTTAGCTTTGGTTTGTGGTTGTTGAATTGTTTTATTAATTTAGCGTCTGTTGTAGGCGTTTTCCCTTTCTGAGGGCTATGTCTGACGACGAGAAGATTCTCTGGTTGTAACTCATTTGAGGCGGTGATTATCTTTGTCATTCTGCAGTTCCTGCACTCACCGGTTCCATCCTCTGTTCCAAAGTGTCGTTGCTTTCATTCCCGGCTTTCAGATGCCACTGTCTCCTTCCTGCAGCTTTCAGATTGTCGCAGTCATCTCCTACATGTCCAGATTGCCACTATTCGACTCCTGCGACTTCTGAATTGCTATTGTCACCCATCCAAGCTTCCAATCTTTCGCAGAGCCCTCCAGTGCGTCTAGATAGGCTTAGGTTCTCCTTCTTGAGATCCCAAGGACCGTTGGTTCCTTCTTCAGGCTTCCACTAACAGACGACTGCTGCATTTTCCCTGCACCTCTAGGTGGGCCATTGACCAATTGAATATACCCCTGCAGTCGCCATTTACTGCACTTCTCCTTCGGGCTTTCTGCAAAGCCACCTATACCTGTTGTTCGCTACATTGCTGCCTCAGCCTCCCCACCTTCCTGCAACCAGCTGCACGTGCCACTGTCCTCCTCTTTCAGCAGCCACTCACACCAATTGCTCTCCATTTTCTTTTTCTAGCGATCCCAGGGACCGCTGGTTCCCTCTTCAGGCTTCCACTGACAGTTGGTTCCCTCCTGTAGTTCCAGCCTTCCACCGCCCCTCATTCAACACTTGTAGATGGCCGATGCCTTCTTTTCGAACCTCTATGCGGGCCGTCGGCCACTTGCACTCATCCTTGCAGTCGCCGCCTACTGCAATTCTCCTCTGTGCTCTCTGGAAAGGCACCTACACCTACTATGCGCAACATCGCATAATGATGCAAGGCAGGGATTGCGCGCGTGCGCGGGGGGGTTTGCTGAGCCGACCTCTGCTTGGTCCAGACGTTTTGGACTAACCGGCCCTGTGGAACCTGTTTTTCCCTTTCCTTTTCTATTTTTTGTCTTAATCCCCTTCCTTTACCATTACTATTCTTTTCTATTTCTTGCCTATTTCATGCCTTCCTTTTCTATTTCCTTTCTTATTTTGTTCTTACCCATTCTACTTATTAATCTCTATTATTTAAAGGTGGTGTTAGCTTTGGTTTGTGGTTGTTGAATTGTTTTCTTAATTTAGCGTCTGTCGTAGGCGTTTTCCCTTTCTAAGGGCTATGTCTGACGACAAGAAGATTCTCTGGTTGTAACTCATTTGAGGCGGTGATTATCTTTGTCATTCTGCAGTTCCTGCACTCACCGGTTCCATCCTCTGTTCCAAAGTGTCGTTGCTTTCATTCCCGGCTTTCAGATGCCACTGTCTCCTTCCTGCAGCTTTCAGATTGTCGCAGTCATCTCCTACATGTCCAGATTGCCACTATTCGACTCCTGCGACTTCTGAATTGCTATTGTCACCCATCCAAGCTTCCAATCTTTCGCAGAGCCCTCCAGTGCGTCTAGATAGGCTTAGGTTCTCCTTCTTGAGATCCCAAGGACCGTTGGTTCCTTCTTCAGGCTTCCACTAACAGACGACTGCTGCATTTTCCCTGCACCTCTAGGTGGGCCATTGACCAATTGAATACACCCCTGCAGTCGCCATTTACTGCACTTCTCCTTCGGGCTTTCTGCAAAGCCACCTATACCTGTTGTTCGCTACATTGCTGCCTCAGCCTCCCCACCTTCCTGCAACCAGCTGCACGTGCCACTGTCCTCCTCTTTCAGCAGCCACTCACACCAATTGCTCTCCATTTTCTTTTTCTAGCGATCCCAGGGACCGCTGGTTCCCTCTTCAGGCTTCCACTGACAGTTGGTTCCCTCCTGTAGTTCCAGCCTTCCACCGCCCCTCATTCAACACTTGTAGATGGCCGATGCCTTCTTTTCGAACCTCTATGCGGGCCGTCGGCCACTTGCACTCATCCTTGCAGTCGCCGCCTACTGCAATTCTCCTCTGGGCTCTCCGGAAAGGCACCTACACCTACTATCCGCTACATCACTTCCCCAGCCGCCCCACCTTGCAACCACCCGCACCTGTTGTTGAGCCGACCCCTGCTTGGTCCAGACGTTCTAGACTGACCGACCTTGTAGAACCTGTTTTTCCCTTTCCTTTTCTATTTTTCGTCTTATTCCCCTTCCTCACCATTACTATTCTTTTCTATTTCTTGCCTATTCCATGCCTTCCTTTTCTATTTCCTTTTTTATTTTGTGATTACCCATTCTACTTATTAATCTTTCTTATTTAAAGGTGTTGTTTGCTTTGGTTAATGGTTGTTGAATTGTTTTCTTAGTTTAGCGTCTGCCATAGGCGTTTTTCCTTTCTAAGGGCTATGTCTGACAACGAGAAGGTACTCCGGTTGTAACTCGTTTGAGGCGGTGATTATCTCTGTCTTTCCGCCGTTCCTGCACTCACCGGTTCCATCCTCTATTCCAAAGTGTCGTTGCTTTCGTTCCTGGCTTCTAGATGCCACTGTCTCCTTCCTGCAGTTTTCAGATTGCCGCAGTCATTTCCTACACGTGCAGATTGCCACTATTTGACTCCCGCGACTTCTTAATTGTTGTTGTCACCCATCCGAGCTTTGAATCTTTCGCAGAGCCCTCCTGTGCTCCTAGACAGTCTGAGGTTCTCCTTCTCATGATCCCAAGGACTCCCGGTTCCCTCTTCAGGCTTCCACTGACAGTTGGTTCCCTCCTGCAGTTCCAGCCGACCGCCGCCCTTTATCCACCACTTATAGACGACTGCTGCCTTCTGCTTGCACCTCTAAGTGGGCCATTGACCAATTGAATACACCCCTGCAGTCGCCATTTACTGCACTTCTCCTTCGGGCTCTCTGCAAAGCCACCTGCACCTGTTGTCCGCTACATCGCCGCCTCAGCCTCCCCACCTTTCTGCAACCAGCTGCACCTGCCATTGTCCTCCTCTTTCAGCAGCCACCCACTCCTGCTGCTCTCCATTTGCTTCTTCTAGCGATCCCAGGGACCGTTGGTTCCCTCTTCAGGCTCCACTGACAGTTGGTTCCCTCCTGTAGTTCCAGCCGATCACCGCCCCTCATTCAACACTTGCAGATGGTTGTCGCCTTCTCTTTGAATCTCTAGGCGGGCCATCGGCCTCTTGCACTCACCCTTGCAGTCGCCGCATGCTGCAATTCTCCTCTGGGCTCTCCCGAAAGGCACCTGCACCTACTGTCTGCTACATCGCTGCTGCAGCCGCCCCACCTTCCTGCAACCACCTGCACCTGCCGCTGCGCTCATCTTTCAGCAGCTAGCCACACCTGCTGCTCTCTGTTTGCAGTCACCGGTCGCAACTACCTCACCGCCGACATCTTAGGAAACCCTCCCTAGGCCGTGGTCAGATCGTGCTATTTCTATCATAATTGTCTTATTTTCTTTATTGATTGTACCACTCCTTAGTTGCGTAATAAATTATGTACTTCCTCGTCGTGGGTTAACTCCGATATCACATAATATATGTGATTTTTCATCCTACGCAGATATCTTTTCGAAGTATTTTCTTCACAGTCAAATGAAATGTTATGCTTGCAATCTCAACTTTTTTAACTTTCGAATAGACTTATTCAAAATTTTGAACCCACACTTAATTGTTTCAGTAATATCATCAATCAACTTCAACCCTTTTTGCAGAAGAAGATTCAACATTTGAAAACCACATCAAATTTGGAAAAAAAACTTCATCGCATATTTGTCCTTTCTTTGCATTTACGCGCATTTTAAGAATATTAACAACAGAATCATTATATGAAGCATTATGAAAAGAAAGACACAGGTTTATCTTTAATCTTGTACTCAGGCAAAGAAACACAATATCTTAAATTGTTGGTTGATTAAACGGCGGTGTTAAAACTCGAATAACTACTGTTCTTTTGTGTAACCTCCATCTTTTATCAATCCAATGTGCTGTTATACTAGCAAACTCATCTTTTGTTGACCCATTATGCTAATTATTAGATATTAAACAAATACAGCTAGTACTCTTCAATAATTCATACAACGCATATTTTTTCTCTTATTCATTGTAGAA